GCCCTTGAATCCCAACCAAAAGAATGAGTTAGCAACTGTCTGACTTTTCTGAAAGTAAATTCTTTAAAAGCCTTTCTCTTTTTGTTCAAGAAAACAAATTATTAATGTGTAGTAATAAAATTAAAGTATACTTCAGATTAGTTTGAATTAGTTTCAATTATAATCTGTTATTTGGTTGGATAGATGGTTAACTTATTTTTACTTATTAAAAAGTTCCTGTATTAGTAAATCTTTTTTTTTTCTATATTAACTTTAGGAATTTGTAATAGACTATATACTCATTGACCCCTGAAGAGTTATTTCTCCTGGAGAATCAGTCTTCACAATTACTGATGAGAGTACCAACCAATATGCCCATCTTCATTGTAATTATAAAATGGTTGAGGGAAATGACCTTGAAGACGGTCTTTCAGTTTAATAGCGTGACTTTATTTTAAAATATAAGTAATAGAATAAAAACATTTTCCATAAAATTTCTGATATCTAATTAATGTCTTCTAGAGTAACTGTGATATCAAACATTCCCTCTAATTATATTCATTAGTGGCTTCTCCCAGACAAGTTTTAATTAAGTTGTACAATGAAGATCAATACTCATTGTGTATTCACTGCAGTTTACAACAAGCATATATACTGTTCAGAACAATTTAATTACTGTAATTGTTGCATAGAAGATCCTTAGTGACTGTGCTCCATTACTGCCAATCTCCTCTTTTAATAAATTCGGTAATGAAATTGGGTAATGAACTTCTGAAAATTCCCATTTATATATACCCTATGTCTAAACTTCTGGTTTTTATGTTACTAGCTTAAGTAGTGGAGGAAATGGAGGCATTAATAATATCAGTGTTGTAGTGTTTTTTCATACACACGTATGTCACTTCCCACTGCTGTCTAAAATTGGTTTTGTTTTGGAAACAGATGTTTTCATAAAATTCACAATGCAAAGAAGATACTTATACATATGATTACTAAATTAGAAATTGAAAAACGTGTGCCATCATGAATGTTGAGAAATTATTAGAGCATAAATAAGAACACTTATAGTAACAGTTATATTAGTTATATGAAAAATAATTTAAGGGTGTTGGGTAATAAGAATAATCTATTTCCCCCTAAATACAATTTCAATTTTTATTACTCTTATTTCCTTAAATAGTAGTATTTTAATTTATAAGGATTGCCTTCAGATATGCTAACTTCTATTAATGAAAATCATGCTACTGCTGTGCTGCACAAAGAACGTGAAAATAAAGATTTTCTGGTAGCATCATAGGTGTATACCAGGGTTTCTTAAGTTTGGCATTAGTGAAATTTAAGCCAGATAATTCTTTACTGGGGGTGGGGAAAGATTTGCTGTGCATTGAGAAATGCTTAGCTGAATACCTGGTTTCTTCCCGTGAGAAGCCAGTAACAAATACTCCTCCCACCCTCCATTTTTTTACAATCAGAAATGTCTCCAGACGTTATCAGATGCCCATGTTGAGAACCACTGGTGTATGTTGATTCAGACACACCCTCTTGATCTGCCCACTGACCAAATGATTCATTAATAAGACAAACAGCTATTCAGCTCTTCTGACTGCAGGCTAGGTTCATAGGCATGAGTCAAACATGGTATTCTTTTAAGGGGACAATACAATTCTGTGTATTCAGTGTTTTGGAAATAATAATTGGGTGCTAATATAATATTCAGTAATAAAGAAGAATAGAGATGGCTTCCTAGAGGTAACAGTTCCCGAAATGTGGACAAATGAAGTTTTGTTGGACAAATGAAGTTAGCAATTCAAAAGGGGGTGGAAGGACATTTGAGACAGCTAAAGTAGCATGCGCAAAACTTGGAAGTTTAAGAAAGCTAACACTCTATATCTCTATCTATACATTTATATCTCTCTATATATACCTATTTCTGTCTCTATGTAAATATCTCTATCTACCTAACTATAATTTTAATTATTTTTCCTGAGGCATCAAATTCCAATTTCCTCTGAATTATATGAAAAAATTATAATATAGGGGCACCTGGGTGGCTCAGTCGTTAAGCGTCTGCCTTTGGCTCAGGTCACAATCCCAGGGTCCTGGGATCGAGCCCCGCATCGGGCTCCCTGCTCGGCGGGAAGCCCTCTTCTCCCTCTCCCACTCCCCCTGCTTGTGTTCCCTCTCTCGCTGTGTCTCTCTCTGTCAAATAAATAAAAATAAAATCTTTAAAAAAGAAAAAGTTATAATATAGTAATTTGCAAGTAATTGCCTGAAACATCTAATTTTACTCTTTTTTCAATTTCTAATTTAGTAATCATATGTATAAGTATCTTCTTTGCATTGTGAATTTTATGAAAACATTTGTTTCCAAAACAAAACCGATTTTAGACAGCAGTGGGAAGTGACATACGTGTGTATCTTATAAACCTCCTAATCTATTTCTTTGAAGAAAAACTTTTGACAAGATCATCATAAGAAAGATAATGTACATTTTGTTGTGGGTATTTTCATGTGTTTAGAAATGTATGCCGGGGCGCCTGGGTGGCTCAGTCATTAAGCATCTGCCTTTGGCTCAGGTCATGATCCCAGGGTCCTGGGATCTAGCACTGCATCGGGCTCCCTGCTCCACGGGAGGCCTGCTTCTCCCTCTCCCACTCCCCCTGCTTGTGTTCCCTCTCTCGCTGTGTCTCTCTCTGTCAAATAAATAAATACAGTCTTTAGAAATGTATGCCAATGTTGAAAATTCCCCAAAATGTATTAACAGCCAAGCTAGTATTTTGAATTCATTCATTTAATTTCACATACACATATATATTTTAAGCCAAAAAAAGAGTTAAGAATAGTAATTTAGATTAAAGTTAATTCAAGTGGGGGTAACTAAATTTTAGAAAGACATCTGGAATTCTGTTGGTAATAATAAATATTTGAAGATCCACATGTTACTAAGAGGTCTACAAGGAATGTTGTGTTTCTCATGGCAGGCTAGTTATGAATTCCTAGAATTCCTATTCACATCAGTTTGCCAATATAGGATTAAGTTCAATTTGACTGCCATCATAGTAGAAGGCCTTTAGCTTGCTAATTTGCTCTACTTTATCAGGTCTACACAGATATGCTGCTACTCAATATCAAAGGTGAATCAAATGAATCAAAAGGATGAATAAACATAACAATTTAAGTTCTGCACTCCCATGGTATTTAGTCATGTCTAGACATAGCCCTAGTGTCCCAGAAAAACTGAAATGAGGACAAGGGCATTTAAGTTTAATGTAACTTTATTCCCATGGAAACTAGAAAAGCCAACAAGAGAGTAAAAAGAGTATGGATCTAACTAAAAAATTAGATTTAGTGGGATGACTGGTGGATTTGCAAGGTCAGTCGGTAGTGGAACAGTTTTCGTTTGTTTTTGCTGTTTTCAACAATAGTTTTTCAGCTAGGCCAATTTCTTCTAAAAAAGAATAATCCAACAAATTATTTATTTTATTATTCTATAAAGCCACTCTGATATGTGTAGGCTAAAGATGATGCAAACATTCTATGGGCATAGATTTTTAGAGTTAAAGAGCTCAGAACCTAATGAGAGAAGTAGACAAGTATATTGAATACACACACATCATAGAAGACTGCCATATATATGTGGTATTGAGTATATATCTGTGTTTTCTAAAACTTTAAAACTTTGATTTATCTTTATATAACTAGTATTATTATAGACTGTTAACTTAGTGTATAAGATCTATAAGTTTGCATATGTTATATGAAATAAAAATGGATGATAAGGCTTAAGTGCACATAATTTCTATAGTGTGTAGAAAATTTTTATTTCAATTGTGATCCTAATGTCCTTGGTTGTAATAATTTCATCTTATATTTTCTTATAGTAGTATTGTAACACATTCTCTGTCTATCAGCTATTACTACTTTAGTACTCTAGCTTCACATTTACAGATAGAATCTTTTTTTTTTTTCTTTTTTAGAATTGGTAGCATTTCAAGGTAGTGTTTCTTGAATGTAGTATAAGGAAGCTTCAGTACCTCTGACTAGGGATAACCCAGTTGTTTCCCTTTCAGACTGTTTCAGCTGCCTGGTGTGCCAGGTAGATCACTTGGGATAGGCATAATAGGCTGGAAAGATGATCGTCTGTGACCCAGGTCTGAAGCTGTTTGACTACTCAGCATCCTGTAAGCTAGTTTAATTTGGGGTGGGGGGAGGAGAACAGTAGATAAACTTGTTGCATAAACACTCTTTCATGGCTTCCTTTTGTAATAATGATATTCAGACTTCCATTCTGAGAGTTCCAGATATTTATGTATATCCAGCCATAACTGAGGTCTGCATTTCAAAAATGTAGCTGATAGTTCTATAAGAAGCACATTGTAGACTGTGGTTATTTGTAAGTAGAAGATATTTTTGGGAATGCAGTGGACACTTAACTCTAGCAACAACCCTGAGAGCTGCTATAATTTTCTTGGCTTAGTTATGGGTGTGTAGATTTATTTCTTAATTTAACTTGCAATTTGGATTACAGATTTCAGTTAATATCACAAAAAAAATCTTACAAACTTGGGGATAGCTTATTTCTGTTTAATGTAAGTTATTTGTTAATTGCTTCATAATAGCTTTTCAGAAGAAAATACAATATGTGTAGTCACAAATTTATGGCAGCTTAATCCCCAAATTGAGAGCCTTTAAAGGAGTGGCATAGTCCTTACAGTTTTCTGTGGACTTTCATTTTTTTTTTCTTTTTACTAATACTTTTCCTTTATTCTTATTTGACAAGAAAGAGCACTTAGAGTAATGACTTGTTTATGTATTTTTGCTGTAATTGTTCTCCAAATGTTTATTCAAAATCACTTGTTCTTGTGCATCCAAATAATGTTTTCATTAAATTACAACTCTCATATTCATGATGAATACTTAATTTAACTTCAGTTATGTAAGAAATATGCACTTTAATAACACTATGAAAATGGTATACTTTTTTATACAATTGACTCAGTTTTGTGTTCTTTTTCTTTCAGTGAATTTGTTGGATTCACGTACTGTCATGGGGGACTTGGGATGGATTGCTTTTCCAAAAAATGGGGTAAGTCTTTATGATATTTTCCCTACAACTTAAGCTATCTGAGTTGACAGCATGTTAAATGTCACACATGAAAATTAACTGAATATATTTTGATTTGCTATTATCCTGGTTATATTGAACAGGAAATGAAAGTTAGCAACTCAGTGACCAGTGTTGATTCAAACACGGTTTATTTTGTATTTTATTCACTACATTAGGGATTGAAAATAATATAAGAAATTCCTTTAAATTTTACTGAGATTAAAAGTTTCTCAGACTATCAAGTCAGTAATCAAAGGTTTTCTTCCAATTCTTAAATTTTTCTTCAGTGAAAACTTTCAGAAAGGTGTTTCATTGGAATATTTTTATAATCAGTAATTGTTTTTGCTAGTAATTTATTTTACTGGTGTACATTAGAAATAAAGTATTTTGGGTAAAGATTAGGTAAGCCATTTTTAAAGCAATCTGCATGTTAATGTATAATACTAACAATCTTAATACATGGATTATATTAAAAAGTATTCTATTATCTTCTGCTCAATTAAAAATATATATTATCAGATGGAAAATGAATGTAAGTAAAATATTGTGGCATAAAATCATTATATTACACAGAAAATATAACTGTATTGCATGACTATTATATTCAAAACAATTCAGATTTTGAGAGATTTTTATTTACATATAACTTTAATATTTATGGTGACTAACATAACATAATAACGTTTATGAAATTAAAAAAAATTAACTATTTTATAATTTTCATACTCAAACTACCCAAATTCATTATAGAATCATTTTGTGGCAAGCACAAATAGTATTTTTCAATACTCTATTTTGAGAATTTAATTTAAGCAATTTGAACATTTAAAACTTTATGGTATAGTGTGTATATGTAATTCATTTAGAAAATTTTCACACTGGTAATAATTCATATGACTTCCAAAGTTAATTTTGGTGTAATTAAGTAATCTAATATTGTCATAATCCAAATATTTAAAACTTATTGTTATTATTTTTTTGCATTTGATGAAAAAATCAGGTGTATTATTCAGTCCTTTACAAACAGAGTTATTATGGAGGTAAAACGAGTGGTATTAATTGTTCTAATTCATAGTTTATATGCTAACATCCTAATCTCAATGTGATTTCTTTCATTAACATGGTATTTCTTTTTGGTTGTTAAAAATTATGGTTACATTTAGAGATACACTATAAATAAAGTATATTAACAGATTGTTAAGATATTAGGACATAAATATAAGCCAAAGGGAGAAAGTATAGTACCAACCAGGTATAGCTAGTGCCAACATAATGGTGTTTATTCTCTTAGTCCCTCTTTTATCTTTCTTATGTTCTTCCTTCTTCCTTTCTGTTTTCTTCCTCCTACCCTTCATCTCAAATCATTTTCTTTCTTTCATCTATCATTACCCCTGTACAAGTAAATGGCTGGCTAATATCCATCTATGAGAACCTATAGCTATATTTTGTACTCTCAATTTTTTCACATACCAAAAATGATCTGTTATGTCAATATTTTAAATTGCCCTTTCTGGGAAGATGGCTGACAGGTGGGGTTGAAGTTAATTTTTTAAAAGCCTGAGAAAATATGTCATATTCCCTTTGAATCTAGTTTTGTGTGTCTCCTCTTTCTATCCAGAAGTTATTCAGAAGAAGATTTGTCAGAGTGCATCTTTGAGGGTAAATCTGATTCGTAGTTGCTTTTGCAGCTAAAATTTGGGGGGAGATTACCCAATTTTGTACATGAGTTTTGTATAAAACACAATCGTTTCCTTTATAACAACATAGTCCCTTCATATCCAGAATGAGCTCTATTCATTCTAACAACTTTATGCTTTCTTTTTCTTTCCATTATAATTGTTAGTATACTGTATATTTTGTTCGGTTTTTAATTTTTTCAAATTTTTAGATTTCAATTTATATATATATATATATTTTTTTTTTTAGAGAGAGAGTGTCAGTGAGGGCGGGGGTAGGCAGAGGGAGAGAGAGAGAATCTTAAACAGGCTCCACACTCAGTGCAGAGCCCAACACAGGTCTCGATCCCATGACCCTGAGACCATGACCTGATTCGAAATCAAGAGTCGGATTGTGAACCGACTGAGCCACCCAGGTGCCCTTCGTTCAGTTTTTTAATCAATGAGTTTCCTTTCCAACATTCTTACAATGTTTTGAATTATGTTTCTTTTGACATAACTATGCCTGATGTTAATTTTAAAGAAAAAAATTTAAGGTAGAGAAACTTAGTGAATGTGCATTTATATGCCCAAGTATGTACTTGTCCACACTTGTCCAATGTGTACAGTACATAGATGTTTCATTTTGTGTTATGTCATTCAAATACAAAGTAAAGGAAATTTTAAAATTATAGTTTAAAGAAATGAGTGTTCAAGGTGTAATTAATTCTAATAAGAATTAATTAATATATTACTCTATTGTTAGGCTGTGCCATTTATGATTAGATAAGCAATCTTATTCTAGGTGAAATATAGATCAAAAGTGATGCCATCGAAAATTGTGGAGTAAAGGCCTCTACAAATATTCTTCTCCATAAAAGCCATGAGAAAACTGGCAAACATTGTCAGAATCAATTTTCTGGAACTCTGGAAATTAGCCAGTCATGGAGCAATACAGGGATCATTTATGCAAGAAAAATGATGGACTATTGTTAGAACAGCAGCACTAACTTTAGCATTTTAAAAAAATGTAAAGATTAAATTAGGTTAAAAATTTTATTATTTATTGGAACTGGATATTTTCTTTCTTTCTTTCTTTTACTTTATTTTAATAGCGTTATCATTTTAAGGTGCCTTATGTTCTTTCCTGCATCTCCAGCTGTGAGGTAGCCTTCAAAAACCAAAAACCTGCTGGCAAGGTAAAAAAGCAGCAGGCTAGCATGCACTGGATCAGCAGAGTGGGACAGGAGATTCTTCAAAGGCTGGATCCCAGGGAATTGTCCTTATTTGATCTGATAGCTTCCGGGAAGACTGTTCTTGTAAGGCTGTCTTGATTTGATCTGACTCAGAACTCCCCCAGTCTGAAAGCCTTTATTAAACTAAGTGAATAAGAATAATCTCCTTTTCAGAATATTTTCCGAACTTCAGGCCTTAGGAATGAATATTTTATTTAGTTACCCCAAATCTGCACTTAAGAATTAGGCAAGTATTTAAGAGAAACACTGTTATCCATCCCTTAAAGTCATGCACACATTCCACACACTTCTTAGAAACAATCACTGCACCTGTGATACATTTTCTATGCTTGTCAGCTCCTGGGCTTCTTATGCCTATCTCACATTTACCATTCTGCACTGTTTCTACAAGTTGGCTCAGGTCCCGGCATACAAGAGAACTTCCGTAAACATGTATTAGAAGGATAACTTACTTTATTGTGTTTAAATTTATAAAATGGAGCACAAATTACTGAGGTATAGTTTTACATAAGGATTTAAAAAGTGGGACTGAGAGTAGAACTTGGCACAGTGTCGGCACCCAGCAAATATTCTTTCTTTGACCTTCTACTGCATTTCTATTCTCCTTAAACCGAGAGATCCAACAGGTTTTTTGTTTATTTTTCCATATAAGTATATCCATTTGAATTCCTTGTCAGCACTTAAAGATTGAGAGATTTCATATAAAATCTGAATTTCTGGCTTCTCTGTTTAGTTGGAAGTTTCAGAATACTGGAACTAGCAGCCTTCTATGACCTCAACAGCCCAAAGCTGAGTAAAGGTTGCTGTTTTGTGAGAGTCAGCAAATTATCCTCTTTGACTCAATTTCCATCTAATACTCTTCTTATTTAAATTGCCAGTCTGTAATGTTAGCAGTATTTTAGAGTGGGTCCAGAGATCTAGCCGAATGGGGATCAGCGCTCACAGAGCAGAGTCTGTCTGTCCCTCCACCCCCTCTCCCCGCTTGTGTGCCTGCACGCATGTGTGTACTCTCTCTCTCTCAAATAAATAAACAACATCTTTAAAAAATACAATCATCAGGATTTTCTTTTGTTTCAGGAGGGTCTTAAAAAAAATCTCTGATTATTACATGCTGAGATAGTTTCTTCCTAGATTTTGTTTGAGTACTTCACCTTAATCAGGAAACATCGTTTGAATTTGGGCTTCAGCATGTGCTCTTTAGCCACAGCATATGAGAGAGACCGTACGTGTATGTGCAGGCACATCACGCACACATACTTCATGGTAATAACTTAAACTCTCCTTCCCTTTTTTAATCTGGACATATCTAGAAGTACTATATTACAGCAAGGTTTGCTTTTTATGCAAATTTTCTGCATTCATTCATTCAATAAGATTGGGCACTTAGTATATGTCAGTGAGTTTTCTAGGCACAGTGAGTATAGTATAGCACTGAAGAAAACAGAAGTCCCTGACCTGCTGGAACTCGAGGCAGCGTTATTATTTTTAGAATGAGTAATCAAAGTGTGTTAGAACAATGTGGCCAATGAAATGCTTTCTAGTTCTGTCTTTTCTTTCTATAGATGTACAAAAGTGGCAGAGAGGTGACAGTATTTGCTCAAGGTCACTCTGGTAGTTTGTGCTACACTGGGAAGAGCACATGTATTATATTTGGCACATGTGGTATCATATCATTGTTTCTAATTGTCTTCCCATGAAAAAATACTTTTGCAAGTACATAAATTTATTTAATACTGACAATGGCAATGCAAAAAAATATACTTAGTATTCTTCTTGTAGATGAGGAAAAGGAGGCTCAGTAAGGATAAGTGAATTGCCCAAGGTTAGGCAGCTGGTAAGAGACTGATTCTATTTCAAGCCCAGGTCTTCCAGGAGACTGATTATTTTAAACCAGAGGCGAAGTCCTCCAAACAGTTAGGTCTCCAGAGACATGACTAGATTCTGGATGTTGCCCAGATTTCTAGTTTATATAAAAGAGTAATTGATGCTGAAAAGGAAATTCATCTTTAAAAAGTTTTAAATGAGCCAGAGTGGGTTGCATTCTATCCATTGCCGGATCATAAGTGTT